CTTAAGTTAACAATTTTTGCAATTTCGTGCAGATAGCAGAAGACCTGCAGGGATGAGCTACAAGTTCACCAACGTGGCTACAATAAAGTCGCCGAGGGAGGTGTACGTGCGAGTCGGACTTCCTATATCTCTGACCTGCGAGATAATCCCGACGTCCGATTCCGGATCATTGGCTGAGAAATCGCGCGTCCGATGGATGCACAAGGGCCAGGAAATAACGTCCGAGGTAGGTGGAAGTGCAGTCTAAATAATCGTCCCGTTGTACAGAGATGGACAGGAAAAGTGGAGAGAGCAACAACAGGATCCACTAATTAGCTAATTAGGCTTACACTGTTACAGTCCGATAGGGGCGGAATTTCCGTGGATACGGATTACAGGGAGAGGAAGATCACCAGTCGTTTGAGAGTTTCCATGGTGACCGCTGACGACGAGGGCTTCTACACGTGCACCCAAGAAGCCACCAGACAGGATTCCGTCAAGCTGAGCGTGGTTCAAGGTAAGCCACCACATTACAAACAACCGTGTTTACAGCCTACTCGGATTGTTGTTGTATTACGTATTACAAACAAATGAAACATGACACCCTCCCACCATCAGTCGGATGGACCCTTTATTTACAATTAAAGCTTTCATCTGGGATTCACAGAGTACACCAAATTAACGCATTTTCCAAGAACCACTTTGTTTACACACAATTTTACAATTTCTTTCTCAGAATTATTCTCATAAACCAAATAATTTCCAAAACATCTGTTTTTATCATAATAACGTATATAAATATAAAACCAAAATTATCTAGTTTTATAACTTTATTCAATTGTTTTTACAGTTTTTACTTACTTCACTTTATTCTAATTATTATATATTTGGTAAATTACAAGAATTATTCAAATTATTTTTATTATGTCATTTTTCATTATTTATATACCAAAAACCTTAAAATAATTTCAACATAATTCAAGCAATTTATGAAATTGTTTATATCATACTTTTATATCGTCTTTTGTATATTGTAAAGTCCTAAATGTAATTACTGAAATCATATGTTTGTTAGATTCAGAATCAATTTAAACCTTTGCCGACGAGCGGCGGATATAGTTGCCCTATTATTTACAAGGGGAAGACTACGCTTATTTGAATCAAAATTCGATGTGTTTATATCGTCATTAGTTTTTTTTTCAGAGTTATAAAAGCATTGACGTTAATTCTGTTACATAAATGTGCCACAACATAATAATACACAGTATTTTTGCAAAAAAAATTACAATTTACAATTAAAGCTTTCATCTGGGATTCACATAGTACACCAAATTAACGCACTTTCCAAGAACCACTTTGTTTACCACACAATTTTATAATTTCTTTCTCAGAATTATTCTCATAAACCAAAGAATTTACAAAACATCTGTTTTTATCAGAATAACGTATATAAATATAAAACAAAATAATCTAGTTTTATAACTTTATTCAACTGTTTTTTACAGTTTTTACTTACTTCATTTTATTCTAATTATTATATATTTAGTAAATTACAAGAATTATACAAATTATTTTTATTATGTATTTTTTCATTATTTATATACCAAAAAACTTAAAATAATTTCAACATAATTCAAGTAATTTCAAGTAATTATGAGCACGCTTTACCTATCTAAGGGAATTATGAAAAAAAAAATATATAAAATTCTAAAAGCATAAAAGTTTAAAATATGCATTGATTATGAACAAAAATATTATTATGAATTGAAATATTGATAAAATATGCAAATAAATAAATTTAAATTTGTTAGATTTACTTTTTTTATGGAATTATAAAATTTTATATTTTTATAAACTGTCATTTTTTCCATGTTTTTTTTTTACAAGAAAACAGGAAAAGATTTGTAATATTTTATATCGTTTATAAATATTAAATAAAGTGGAAATTTTTGAAGTATTTGTAAAAAAAACTTTTGAAATTAACTAATTGAATTTGGTGCAGAATGGATGCAATATTATAACAATTTATATTCATTTTTGTATAAGTTACGATTTATGGAATTATTGTAATATTTCAAATTTACAAATTAACGCATTTTCCAAGAACCTCTTTGTTTACCACACAATTTTACAATTTCTTTCTCAGAATTATTCTCATAAATCAAAGAATTTCCAAAACATCTGTTTTTATCATAATAACGTATATGAATATAAAACCAAAATTATCTAGTTTTATAACTTTATTCAATTGTTTTTACAGTTTTTACTTACTTCATTTTATTCTAATTATTATATATTTAGGAAATTAAAAGAATTACAAGAATTATACAAATTATTTTTATTATGTAATTTTTCATTATTTATATACCAAAAACCTTAAAATAATTTCAACATAATTCAAGCAATTTATGAAATTGTTTATATCATACTTGTATATCGTTTTTTTTTTCTTTGATGAAACCACCTTTTTAATAATGTATATTGTGAAGTTCTAAATGTAATTTACTGAAATCACATGTTTGTTAGATTCAGAATTAATTTAAACATTTTCGGACGAGCGGCGGATATAGTTGCCCTATTGTTACCAACAGAAGACTACGTTTATAAAAATCGTTTTTTCAGAGCTGTAAAAGCTTAATTCTGTTACATAAATATGCCACAACATAATAATACACAGCATTTTCGCAAAAAAAAACAGTTGAAAATGCAACTATCTGTACGCAACTGAAAACAAATTTTGTTTTCACTAAATTAATTATGCTGAATAGATATTTTTGTTAACTGAAAATGTATATTGTGAAGTCCTAAATGTAATTTACTGAAATCACATGTTTGTTAGATTCAGAATTAATTTAAACATTTGCGGACGAGCGGCGGATATAGTTGCCCTATTTTTACCAAGAGAAGACTACATTTATAAAAATCGAATTTTGGATCAAAACGAGGCGTCATTAGTTTTTTTTTCAGAACTGTAAACGCTTAATTCTGTTACATAAATATGCCACAACATAATAATACACAGTATTTTTGCAAAAAAAAAACAGTTGAAAATACAACTATTTGTCCGCAACTGAAAACACAATTTCTTTTCACTAATTTAATTAATGCTGAATAGATATTTTTGTTAACTGAAAATGTAAATATTCTGTTTCAGCTGAACATTCTGAAGCGATGCAGAGGGACGCAGCCTACTCGAAGGCATCCAGATCCGGCGCGACGTTATCGCTCGTAATTGTGTACCTCTTAATTTCCAAAACCATTAAGACTGTTGTAAATATTATGTAATAAAATTAATTCAAACAATGTCAGCGGAAAACCTTCTTGTCATGTTCATACCCCCGCAGTGTGTGTGTTAATTAAGTCGCGTTTTTAGTCCGCATCCCCAACGGGTTTGCATGGACCAATTCATCCACCCTCACACTACGTCTATTATGTTAATTAAACCTCCCATTAACTTACGCACAAATTCACCTCAGTTCCGCGCGTTATCGCAACACGACTCGACGACAGCTAAAGTTCAGTTCGCGATGATCCAAGGAAATACAAAGTCGCTTCCATTTGATTTGCTCCACCAAATACAAATAGAAATTCACATCTTCAAAGACATACATTAATAGCTGTTAATTAACAATAAAGCAATTAAAACACAGAAGTTCATTAATTAGCAATTGAAACAATTATTTTATAAAATAAAGTCAGTTTGTTTTTTAATATTTTGCAAATATTAATTTGAAAGAACAACATTTCAGTAAATACTTGATGTATTTACTAATAAAATAGTTCAAAAAAAACAGAAATTGGAATTACTTTTACAATAATTCTTTATTCTTACATTTGAAACAACATTACTTCAGTAAATACTTTATGAATTCGAAAATAAATCTGAAAATTTCAATATCTGAAAGACTAATATTTCAGCAAATGCTTTCATAAATATAAAAGTACACAATTTCAGGAATTTCACCATAAAATGAATACAAACACAAATGTGAACAAACAACACTTCAGCAAATGCTAAATGTATTCTCTATAAATCATTATATCAAGCCTGAAATAAACTAAATATTTGGTTACAATAAATCAATTTGTTCTGTGTAATTCAATCAAATGCATTATAGTATAATAATTCATTAAAAAAGTCAATTAACGTATCAATGCATACTTGAAAGAACAAAATACGTTTAAACATTAATTAAATGCGTTATAAAACGTGTTTAATTATAATTTGTTAATTAAAATGAGCGCATAAAGCGAAACGAAATGGAATGAATTGGATATTGAAATGATTATATTTAAATAACAAAAAAAATATAATTGCAATCGTATCAAATTATTTTAATGCGCTGTACGTGTTTTCAGGTAATATTTGTGTATATTTTTATTAATTAATTTTTACGAAATGTAAAAAAAAGATAAAAAGTCTTTATTATCATAAAAAAAAGAAAGTTTCCGTTGTTTTCAGTTAAAAAAAAACTTATAATTTATTACATAATTACAAATTTGTTCATTTAATAATCTTTTTAGTAAAAAAATATTATAAATTTAAATCGATTCAAGTTTTAACATTTCGTGTCTTAAAAATTATTTAATTTCCTCACATTTTCTATTGATAATTTGAAAAATAACTTAAAAAAAACACATTGTTTAAAATTTGAGAACCTCAATTTTAATATTTGATTTAAAAATGTTATAAAGAGGTAAAAATTAGAAATATTTATAAAATTTTGTATATAATATACTATACTACATAGTTTAATTATTATCAAGTATTATATTTTACGTTGTATGTGATTTAAAATTAGTATAAAAATCAAATTTTTGATTTTAAATATGTGAAAATTTTGTCAAATTTATTAAGTAAATAATATTAAGACATAGAACATAATGTATATTCTTTTAGTTATAATTTTGTTTAAGTATTATTAGTTATAATGATTTCAATAAAAATAATTATGTATTATATAAATTCTATTTTTTAAATTTTATGTACAACTAATATTACTTTCTTATATAATTATTTATATTTCCACTTCCCATTTCATATTAATTAAACAAGCACTAATTTATATAATTATTTCAACTTTAGAATGTATTACTTTTATGTAAAATCAATATGAACATTTATGAAAATTCACTTAAAGAATTGAGTCTTAATAAATAAAATAACTTAAGAAGGAAAAAAAAGTTTTATTTTTGGTTAAAACAATTTTGTATTCAATTTTACTTATAATTGATGTAATTTCATTTTTTTTTCTTTCTTAAAAAGTGCTGTTTTGGACGAAGGGCCAACTTGTCTGGGTGAATGGAAGAAATCGTTGAGGTTTCAAAGATGACGTTTTATTACTACTTACAACACTTCTTACACTATACTTAGACCTATAGTCAACTAATACTATATTATTTAATTAGGCACTGGTAGCTGGTTTAAAGGTCCAATGTTTTGAATAAAGGATCAAGTTGTGCGGGTGAATGGAAGAAATCGTTGAGGTTTATTACTACTTACAACACTTCTTACACTATACTTAGACCTATATTCTTAAACTATTGCTTAATTACTACACTAATAATGATCTTCTCCATGCTTAACTCCTTCGAACTAAGCTTCCTCGACAACATCATGGTATACATTGTTGCCACCTTTCATAACCACTGTTGCGCTCAAACAGTGTTTTACTTTAAATATTAATATCTATTAATATATCTCCACTAATAATTCCAATGAATTATTAAACTATTTTTTTC